CAAACCATTTCTACCAGTGAGACCATTAAAATAACAGAACTTTCAGCCCTAACATCAACAACCTCCCCATCCCCAAACACCCAAAAAAAAAAAACTACTACTCCAATGCACCCCCTCCCCCTCTTGTACACATTTTTGCGTGCATGAATGCACATTAACCGAACGGTGCGACCTTTGGAGGAGGGTCTTATAAAGTCAACACCAGCGACTTGCAGCCTTAACTGCCGACAAGAAACAATACCTTTATCCACTCTTTGTGTGGCTTTTTTCTTTCTTTTTTATTTATTTATTTTTTGGTGTGTGGAAGAGAGAGAGAACATACACAACACTGCCCCATCCATGAACCTTCACAGACTGCTAGGTAGCAGAAACTGCATCATGCCCCCCAACCCAAACCGGCACAAATAAAAGCACTGAATAGGATTTATATGCAGGTGGGTCTTCAGAAATGGTAAAGAGAGCAAATCAGCTTCCTTGTTCAATAAGGATCTACATATTTTGCAAAATCAATGATATTTTAGCCACAGGGTTTCTGCTCCAATGGCATTATTTTTCCCTAGAGAAACATATACTTTTTAAAGCATTTTCTGAGACAAAAAAACAGTGAAAGGATGACTACTTACAACATTTGCGGACTGAGAAGGTGGTGCAGTTCTTGATAATTGTAGCAATAGCTGAAGATAACAACCAAAACGAGGAACCTCACGTACCCCACAGCCGTCCACAAAAAAATCATGAAGACTACTACCATAGAAATGAATCAAGGTATAAACTGAGTTACATTTATCATCATCTATCTTGGCGTGGTGAAGTAGAATCTCTCTTGTTCGATCAACACAACCAGTTTGGTCACTCCAATACACCTCACTGGTTGACAAAAACACACCTGGTACAAGTTGCTCGACATCAGCAACTTTTGCAAATGGTACAAATATACAGGCCCCAGAATTTAATGCCTCAATCTTCGTCTTTGTGCTAGTCATCTCGTCCCAAATGAAGGAGTAAAATCGGGACATCTGCTTTATGCTGACATAAAAGGGTGCAACATTGTTTTTCAGACTGATGAACTTACAAGGCTAGAACTAAACAAGTACATCCTCATTAAAGCAGAAATTTTTTAATAAATCTAGAAATGGCAAATTAAGACAATATTGAGTCATTTAATTATTAAGAAATAAAAAACTGATGATGGCTAGACGAAAGAAGGAAAAGGTTGCTAGACTCAGAGGCAAACATAATGTGAAGTGGGTAACATCAAACTCCAATTCACAAATAATTGCAATTAGAATCAAAATTTGAAAAAGGAAGTAGAATGCAACAGGATAATGAGCAAACTATTTATTAAAGCAGACAAATGAGTTGGAGAGCAAACAATGCAAACCACCCCAGTGCAGTAATTCACAGACCCCCAATGAAAGATGATGAGGATGCAACAGGATATCAAGAAAAACATTTAAATGAAAAATTGAAGGAGAGAATGATTTGGGAGGCCAAAAAATACAAACTAAATAATGACAGTAACTGACACACCCACTGCAGTTGGAAACACTAGTTACAGACAGATTTGGCCTACATTGTACATCTTTATCTGTTGCCCAAAAAAAAAAAAGAACGCACTGCACGGAATTATTTGTAGCAATTTTATAAGAAGCATCCTCTTGTCCACATGTAACCATCTTTTCTTTATTTTAATGAACAATAACATACTCTTAGGAGTGGCAACGGGTTGGGTTGGATCCGGGTCAGGCTGAATCCAGACCCAAAGTTATCAGACCTGGACCTAGACCCAATTGGACCTGGACACAAACCCGACCCAAAAATAAAAAAAAATATATTTAAATATATTGAAATGTTACGTTAAATACATACATACATGTATATTTCAACATTATAACTATAGTTATCTTTATTTAAATATTAATTAAATATTATATATTAAATATTATTAAAATATTAAAATATAGGAAAACACTACAAAACGCCTATAAGTGAAGTTCTACAGTACTTCACCTGCGGTTTTATCACCGTTCAAAGTTTATCACACGGTCACAGATGTCTGATAGTGTTTGAATTTTAATATTTTTTCACAAATCATAATGATCTGAAGTTTTGTAGGTGTGTGCGCCTTAGTGAGATGCACATGAATAAAATATAAAACAAATAATTTGAATGATAAAAATTATGCAAAATACCCCAATAAAGTTTCAAGGGTAATTTCATCATTTTATTTTATGACTATTCTTTTTTTAATATTTCATTTTGGTGCGACATGGTCATATGTACGCGCGCCGCAAATTTTAGATAAATATGATTAGTACAATAATTATAAAAATTCAAATACTACCAGACGACTATGACGGTGTGATGAACTTTGGATGGTGATGAGGTGCAGGTGAAGTACTGTAGAACTTCACCTATAGGCGTTTCGTAGATGCTTCCATATTTAAATATTATAACTATAGTTATCTTTATTTAACTCTCAATAAAGTATTATTAAAATGTTATCTATTAAATATTATTTAGAGGATGAGGTTTCTACAAGGCCTAGGCTTTATGAAAACAAAATAAAGCCTCATCTCAAATCCTAGTCCGGAAAGCACTTCTAGCAATGAAAATCTCCACGACGACTCTAAAATCAATTTCCAACATCGACAATGAAATTTGAAACTCAAAAAATGTAAAGATCTGGCAAATCTCTAAGCACTTATTTTTAGGGTGCAATGGAAGGTCTAGATATTTTGATACAACATACACTATTTTTCGCGCTTGAAAACCTAAATTTTTTCCACAACCATAATGTTCAAGCCAAGATGATCGATGCAAAGGCTTTCCAATGCTTGAATTTCAATTTTTGATGAGTTTTGAGGTGAGGCTTCACTTATTTTGGTTGGTCTGCAGCCCTATCAAAACCATTTTCCTTATTCATATAATAACACTAATAGAGTAGGGTCCGGGTTAGGTCCACATGGACCCAGATCCGGGCCCGAATAGTGCTCGGGTCCAATATTTGGACCTGGACCTGACCCGCCGGGTCCAATTCTTGGACCCATAGCTGGACCCAGGTCGAGTCTAGGTCCATTGCCACCCCTACATACTTTGTGTAACTATGCAACTTACGAATACAATTCAGCACAATTCGTAGTCAAATTTTACACTCTTGTTTTCTACTTCGGGTACTTTGGTATTGGGTTTTGTAGCCTTTAGAAGCCTAGAGAGCTAGTAAAAATGATATTTTATAGTGGAATATGCACTTCAATGGGAGGTTGTGTGTTGACTGACCATGGGTTGGCGGTTTATAGCCCTGGTTATGTCCAAAACCCTTACATCAGGGCACATGGCACTACCAAGAAGGGCTTACAGTGGGTCATCCCTTGTTGAGGTTGGAAAGATACCAAGGGATGATGTTTGTAGGCCAAGAGAAATATATAGTCTCTTGTGTACGGTTGTAGGCCTGTGAGAGAAAAGGGCAAAGCCTCAACAACCTCCCGCACGGTATGTATACATGATAACTGCATTACTGTGAAGCAACCCTATAGAGGGACACGTGCACACGTGTATAGAGAGAGCCCCCTTTGCACTGTAGTGACATGTGTTGGACTTGCTTTTAAAAGGGGAGACTATCAACATTCCATAATCATGGTTCTACTGCTTATTGTCTAACTTTGACAAGCCAATTATGAGCCCCTTCATCAAGACTGTGGGTCATGCGTCTTTGTTGGGTTGGACAAGAAAATCGTAGTGGATCATGGTTCTCGGGTTAAGTGGGATGCCGCTATTGTCGCTAATTTTGACTAATTGGTACCAGTCCACTTCTAAAATACTTTATTTTTGCATCACAAATGTTTTTATGGTTTTCACAAATTTTTCAGAATTTTTAAAATTTATTTCTGCTGTAAAATCCTTTAAAATGGTATTTTTGTAATTTCTGAAATTTATAAGGGCCCATGTGAGGCCCAAGATCCAGCCCCACATGTGTGCCACCCATGAGTGGGACGTGGGCCATTGTGGGGACCGCTTAATCTCTCTTGGGTGGCACACCCTCTTTCTTTTATTTATGTAACATTTTTTTGTCAAAAGTTATTTTAGGGGAATCTTTTAAATATTAAAGATTGTTTTAATTAGGAGTTTGGTTTGACCAACACCCTAATTATTTTGTCTTCTTATAGATTATGGAAAAATATTAGGAAAGTTTGGATTGATTATTATGGGATGGCTCAAATTCGTTCTCTCACCCCATAGATTTTCGAAGTTCCATTGGTGAAGTTGTTTCATTGGATAGCCAATGCCAATGGAAGAAACTCTGATCCAAATAGGAGAAGAAATTCTTTTTATTTAAACACCATTGAGCCCCTCTTGCTTAAAACACATATTTCTCACCCCTCCATGCACCAAGTCTCTCTCTCTCTTTCATTAAACTTTCGTATTTCTCTCTCCCTCCCAAAAAAGGTCATGCCAATTTGATAAGACAAGGGTGGCATATTGAAACCCTAATTAGGGTTTTTGCTGTTTGGAGGGAACAAAAGGGTATGCCCAGCCATAGGAGGATCCTAACCCTAATTTGTTCCTAAGGGTTCTTATAAACCTTAGTTAGGTTTCCATGCTCTCTAAAACCCTACAGTAAGGGATATTGCCTATGAAAGCTTCCCATCTCTAAAATTCCACCAAGATTAAAAAGGACAAAAGTGGTCATTGGTTAGGGAATCGGGTGTGGGGTGGATCAAGACCTGTAAGTGTTTAACTCCAGGCACCTCCTAGTAAGGGATGCGGTTTGTATAGAGCCGAGGCTCAAAACAATCAAAGTAAAGCGCACCTTCAAATAGTGTAGAGAAAGGTGGTTTCAATACTGGAAATTTTTGTTTTCAGCTTAAAAAAAAAAAACTAGAAATCTTTGTGATAGCCTTAAAATATAATTTTATATTTAATTATAACATTTACAGTCCCAAAAATAGTGTAGATCGAGTAGATCTAACTTAAAAATCTTGAAAACTGGTTCCAAAAAATGCGTTACAAGATGCACTATTTTCAAAACTTGAAATCCAATTTTTCTCATGTAGATGCATCTTGATGTCGAGATGATCAATTTGAGGATATCTGATAATCAAAACAACCTCTTCTAGGGAAATTTTTGAGGTGGCCTGTAATTTGATTGTAAGAGCCTTGGGTCTCTATAAACTTTTTCCCCTAGTAAGTCTTCCAAGTAGATTTAATTATCTTTCAGTATTATTTCATATTTTTATGTGAATTTTCAGGAACATATATTGTACTCAAAACTATAGTGGAAGATTGTTTATTGCTCCTGAATGGTTTTTATTTGCTTTGGCAATAAAAGTAAAGATCTTAGGTTGTGTTTAAGGTCTTAAATTTGATTTACAACAGTGTACAGTGGCCCATGTAAGTAGAATTCAGGTATATTGAATAAAAGAAAAAGAAAAATTTTAAATTTATTATCTTCCACTCAGGGGCCGTCACATGGTGTGATGGTAAAAGCTCAGGTAGCCAGTGCAAGAGCACAGGTTTGAGTCCTGAGAACGGCCACTTTGTGCATAAGCCAGAGGTTAGGGCCGTTTCTAACCCACCCCTCTTGGGACCCTGCTTAGGCAGGACCAGCACTGAGTTACGGCCCTTATCCTGCACTCCACATAGCTACTCCTTTTATTTCGGCATCAACAGCATGTACAAATATACGATAAGGGCATGGCTCTCCTCAAATTGGAAGGCGTTAAGATAGATGAGTGGCAAGACAAGAAGGGATAGAACTCGAAATGAATTCATTCGGAAAAATTTAGGCGTGGCACCAATAAGCAATAAGATGAGATAGTAAACTTAGGTGGGCTGACCATATGTGGTGCAGACCCAGTACAACAAATGTTAGGAGGTGCGAGTCAGTTCAGGTGGAAGGCTAAAAACAGGGCCAAGGGGATGCCCAAAAGGACATAGTTGGAAGTAGTGAGAAAAGATATGGGGACTTATAGCTTCACTGAGAGTATGGCCCTTAATACAGCAGAATGACGGACCAGGATTCATGT